GATTCAAATATTTATTTTAAAGGTATGCGGTAGGGACATGTTAAGCCGATGTTTTTTTTCTTGTTTTTGATTTTGTTGCATCTTCATTTATTATAATGAACATTCACTTGATTTTAAAACTTGGCGTCATCCGATAAACCGAAGGTAAAAAGAAGCAATAGGTCGGTTAATACTAAGAGTTTAAGGGTGATACAAAAACAATGTTTGTTATGCTTGCAAAACATTTTAGAAGTTATTTCAAAATAGCTTTAAAATTTTTGTTGTAGCTCAAAAAACAAGCCTAGTGTTTAGAAAAATTCAATGCAGATTTCATTTTAACTGCACGAGACACGCAAACAATTTTCAAACTCATTGGTATGATAAAGCAAATTTAATATTACTTCTTAATGCATAACTTTCTAATAGCATCTTTAAATGTATAGAAACGCAAATGAAAACCAAGTGATTTTTTAACTAAAAACTCTTTAAAAAAACAAAAAACATTTCAATTGTTTTTTCAAAAAATGTTCATCTTGATCATTAGGTGCTCTCTGCTATGCGGAACTCGGGACAATCATAACAAAATCGGGAGCGGACTACGTGTATCTGGAAGAAGCGTACGGTCCTTGGATATCATTCCAGTACTCGTGGATCACAAATTTCATGTTGAAACCTGGAGCTCAAGCCACTTTCTCGCTGACGTTCGCTCAATATGTTATGACGCCATTTTTTGACGACGGATGTGGCGAGGCACCGAACATCATCAAGAGGCTCCTGGCTCTGGCAGTCATATGTTCGTCACGTTCAATTTCTATATAATCAATTATTCCTAAACAGACGACTCGAACTTTTTTAAAATATTGTAAACAGTTACATTGGCAGCCATCAATTCGTACAGTGTCCGGTTAGCAGGAAAAATTCAAATCATATTTACTGGGGCCAAGTTGTTTGCTCTCATAATCATTATAATTGGAGGCATCGTCAGATTGTTCCAAGGTGATGTGATCATTTTTATTCACTGTTTCGATTATTTTTCATACAAATAATGCCAATATTTTTTTAAACATATAATCATAATTTTGTTTATGAAGCCTTTAAAAAAATTCACGAGAGATATATAAAAATAAATGTTGTCGTTATCATTCACGCGTAATCACCTATTTCATTGATTCAATTTTTTTCATTTCAATATTAAAAAAACTTGCACTTATAACTACGCGTAATATAGAATAATGTTTGAAAATGACCTGCATTGCGCAGGCGAAACTCAGTACTTATCAACGGGGTTCAACGGGACTGAGAATAAAATCGGAAAGCTGGCGACGGGCTTCTACAGCGGCATGTGGGCCTACGATGGATGGTCCGTTCACTCATATCTTCACTTTTTACAACATTTGTCATCAGTGAAAATTAAAATTATTTGTAAAAAAAAAACTTGGAAATAAATCTAACTGAGTATGTAGGTAGAAAAAAATCATAAAAAGAGTTTGCGAGCGTAAGACATAATTTTAAATGAAATATTAAGGCGAGTCAACTATGAAATGCAATCATCAAAATGATGAAAACTCATAAATATTCCGACTCAATTTATAACAAACTGTAATTGTCCTATAACCATGATTGCTGAAATCAGGCTGCTCTAGATTGGTTTTGAACCCACTATTTTATTTTTCATTAACAAACTTTACTAATGACGTCACACATGAATTGCTGGTGCAGGAATATCCAGTAGTTTAATTTTGGGCGTTTGATGAAAGTTATTGAATAGAATATACTAACGCGAACACTTCTGAGTCAACATTTAACCTAAGTGCTACATCGAATTCTTAAGTGTAGTTGGATGGCTGTTAGAGTTTAGCAATTTTTCACAAGTTCATACAAGTGTGCATTAGGAATGAAAAAAATGTTAAAATGACAAAAATATTATAAAATAAATTTTACCGATATTTATTATTAATATAAAAGAAATTTTTGTACAATAACTCAGGAATACAGCAAATTTCATGACGGAAGAAATTATAAATCCCTCCAGGTTATAATATATATATATATATATATATATATATATATATATATATATATATATATATATATATATATATATATATATCCAGTATTTTATGAAGTCTACCAAATTTCTAGCGTTCTAATGTTTAATATATGATAATTTTGATCTGCGCCCACCCGAAGAAACGAAACGAGCGAACAAGAACGTGAGCAATGGATGCCCCATCTTTTCCGTGAGTCAATAGCGAAGCACCAACGCTAGAAGTTCGGTAGCTTTCATAAATTACTGCATTAATTACAGTCTTTTACCAGTATATATATATATATATATATATATATATATATGTATATATATATATATATATATATATATATATATATATATATATATATATTGGATTAAGACCGTCAAAAATACATTTATGGATGAAAATCACAGCCTGTTCGGCGTTAGTTAACTTCCAATTTATCTTTTCGATTGATTTTTTTAACGGTTCATCGTAAATCATTTTCAAGTTTCTTTAGTTCAAAACCAAAATTTTTGTTTATTTCATGCATGATAGAACAGAAAAGCTTTTTTCAGTATTCCTTTACCATCTTCGGTGTTCAAATTTTGGTTTTGAACTAAAGAAACTTGGTCACAGTATTATACAGCAAAAATTTATCATAAAACAAACGTATTTAGGTTGAAATTTTTTTAATGTGCAAAATTTTCATGTGCTCATTAAAAAAAAATGTCATTTGGGCCACCAAATTTTTTTGCCTAGGGCCTCCTACTACTTAAGGCCGGCCCTGATACATTTTTAAAGATATTAACATACATTCACGTACGCATATACACTCGAATATTTTAGAACATACATATACATAACATATTTTTACATTTCAACTCATTAAAGTATACACATATATCCAGTTTCAAGTACAAATACAACTTTTCATTTCAAACATTCATACAAACGCCAACATTACGCACATGCTTACGTAACAGAAACCTGCCTTTATCTATTTGCATTGGAGTGCCCATAACAGTCATCATCTACATACTGACCAATATATCGTACTTCACTGTTATGGACGTTGAAGGAATGATCAATTCTCCTGCCGTTGCTCTGGTTTGTATGCAGTTTTATCGCGTTCAATCATGTTTATTGCTTATTTTTTATTATTAAAACTTTTTCACAATACGATTGATGAATGTAAACTAAGTTGAAGGTGTAATTATTTATAAACTGCGACATCGTGTAAAAAGAACAGATTAAATTTAATAAACGACTAAGCAGCAGTGAAATATATGAATGTTTTTGCGATAAACTGATCAGGGTCATAGTCATAAACAAATGAATAATGTTCAAACAAACAACAAAACGCACCGGCAGACATGGGCAGAGGAAGTAATTCCAAGTGTTGCTTGGCTCATCCCAATCTTCGTGGCTCTCTCTTGCTTTGGCACCGGAAATGGATCGCTGTTCTCTGGAGGCCGGTGTGTGAAATTAACTTTTTAAATAATAATAATAATAATTTGTGTTATTGTTTTTCATTCTATGCGGTACTCTTCAAAAAAATATTTGTTCAAATTTTAACAAATCATTAATTTAAAAAGTACATCCATAGAAGAAAAAAATCTAACAAACTTACAAAATTAAAAATAATGTATTAATATAAACAACTTGTAAAAAATCATTGAGAAATGATTGATGGATGCTTTCAGGCTGATGTACGCCGCAGCCCGCAACCATCATTTGCCGGATATTCTTGGGATGGTTCATGTTCACAAGTACACTCCTATACCCGCTGTCGTTGTCATCGTGAGTTCATATAAATGCATTGTATGTTCAAATTAATATTTTGGTTCAGGTCAAAGAACATGTTGTTAAGAATAGTTATGTTTACACAAAATGAAGCTGGCATGCTAAAATTAGGCTTAGAAAGTGATTTTGAGAAGAAAATAAACACCAGACAGAGTTTCAAATTTTATCGAAAAAACTAGAACAAGTCTATAAGTTTGTTTACTTAGACTATCTCATTACTAATGTCAATAAGTTTCTAAAAAGTGGCAAAGGAACAACTTAGCCTGAGGAATGTTTGCCTTTTTTTAAAAAGTTAAAAAAGTGATTTATATGATCTACCAAAACAAAGTTGAATTACAGAAATCGGCATTTTTTTACACTGAAGTATGAAATATGGATGCGATAATGAAAAAGGGAGATTAGCAGCGTTTGAAGTTGAAGGCCACAAAAGAAAATTAATGGGTTTCAGCGGAAACAGACAGGTGAGTAACGTAGTCGTAAGAAGCCGATTTGGAAAAAAACGTTTAAAGTAGAAAAATATGGACTTTTTTGAAATATTTTTTAGAAAACCGGTAGATTAATGATGTGTGTATTACTAGCACATCCAGAGAAGCTAGGTGCAAGGGAATGAAAGATTTTAAATTGTTTGGGAAGCAGCAGAATATCTTGACTAACAAGTCAAGATATTCTGAGGACAAAAAACTTATCCAAAACACCAACGTTAACCACTTAGGTTCTTCTGGCATTCATTTTTGTTTTCATCAGCAACATATCAGCCATGATCGATTTTTTGAGTTTCACACTCTGGATTTTCTATGCTCTCAATTTTTTGGGAGTGATTCTTCTCAAATTTTCACCGAAGTACAAGAACGTTTATAGGCCCATCAATGTAAGTTTGGTTGTTTGATTTTTATAGTTTTGGAAGTAATTTGAAAATAAAATTATTCGTTTTAAAGTGAAAAAAATTGTTTAAAACAAAATAATATTACAAAAAATCCTTTAACGTATTTGCTTCAAGATTAATTATTCTCATAATGTACAGCATTTTTTAATTCCGAGCACACCCAATTGCATTTGCAAATAAAGACTTTTTACTAAACATTAAGACTAGAAAAAATAAAACAAGACATATCAGAAAACTTTATGTTAAAATGCTTACAATTCACAATTTGTAGCAACAGATTTACGGAAGTTTATATTTTCTTCTATTCATTAGATTCCACTAATCTTTCCACTCTTCACCTTCCTGTTTGCCGTCTTCCTGGTCCTGGTGCCTCTCATCACTACTCCACAACTTGGCTACTTCTTCGTCCTCCTCTTCATCATCATCGGGTACATCGTCTTCATCCCGTTCGTATTCTTCAAAATCAAATGTCCGGGAATAGGCAAGTTATCTTCTAAAGATACATTTTCAATGCTTTCGTCTATTCAGTTTTCATTCTCAATTTTCAGTTCTGAGTTACGTTACATTAATTTTCAATCATCATCAAAATATTGGCAAGTTGGCTTGCATGGAAAAATGCAGTTGTTTACTTTTTGAGCTTTATTTATAAACAAAAAAATTTAATATTAAATTAAAGTATTGTTATTTATATTGTATAATTATAAATTATGTATATTAGGAAATTATATATATTATATATATATATTAAATGTAGATCAAATATATTATATAAATTATAGCTATAATTTTTATAAATGTTTTATGATGTTTTATTAATTTTAACAACGCCAGGTAAGATAACCATGTTTTTCCAACTGTTGATGCAAGTCTTCATCCCAGATTTGTCACTTGAATGATGGAACATCCAGTTCATCGAAATTTTTTTGTATTTAACATTTATTTATATTATTTTAGTTCCACTTAGTTATAATTTTATGATTTGTTTTTAAAACTACTCAGTGAGTTTCAACATTATTTTATTGCCTTAAGGTAACACAAGTAAGTCGAAATTTTTTTTAAACTAAGTTTATTACAATATATGTGGTTGCATGTTAAATAAATAACGATATAGTGCTTGTGTAACATAAATTAGAAATAAATTGGTTTTTATTTGAGCAGCTTTATTTTAACAAGTTGTGAAACTTATTTTCCGAATTCATGTTGCAAATTCGAAAAATACAATTAATAAATAAATAAATTTAAATTTTGAATTTTAATAAACTAAACGTTCCCCAAAAATTGTTAGTGAGGAAAATCGAAAAAAACGAACTACAAACATATTAACGCCAAACATTCGGTAGAATTTATAGAATATTGTAAAAATTATGGTCTATTACCGACATATATATATGTATATATATATATATATATAAATTGTATTGTAGAGTTTGTATAGTGCTTCTTAAGAGTTTAATTCAGGAGCGTTCTTTTTATTCCCTTCGCTGCGGTAAGTTGAACCAATAGTTCTTTAGACGTTTTTTGAAGTCACCTCGACTCATGATATTGAATATTTTCAAATTAACTGACAACGCATTCCAAATTTGAGCAGCTGAAACTGAAAATCTTCTTTATCCAAAATTAGAGAATTTAAATTTTGAAATCACCAAGTCACCATGGTTGGATAATCGCAGTCGACCTCTGTATTGTGTTTCTGACACTGGTTGGATTTGTTCTTTCAGGTAAACTGGAGCATGTCTCCGGCTAAACAATCTCTCACGTGTAGAGCCAGTATATATATATATATATATATATATATATATATATATATATATATATATATATATATATATATATATATATATATATATATATATTATTGTGATCTTTTGCTGAATAAAAGATTGTTCTAATTCAATTCAAATTTTATTGAGTTATATCGTTAGCACGGTTGTATTAATTATTATTCGCTTCTTCCTACGAAAGTAATAAGCGGCTAATATCGCAATCGATTCGAAATAGCAAAGATAATAAGAGAAACAATGAGATCATCACCACATAGATTGATGTCAGTTTTTTCATCCCTTCCAGCTAACAAATCAGAATAACTCATCCACCAACTAATTTATCTTTGCCATATCTATAAAATATCAACATTTACAAATATATCTTTTTGGTTATAGTTGAGGTATTACATGATGCATGACATACATAATTGAATATTATAAAGTATGGTTTTATAACTATAAATATATATATATATATATTATTAGAGAATTTATATAGCGCCCTTTAATGCAACTCAAAGGCGCTGCTTTCGTCTGGTGAAATCATCGGAAAAAAAGATACGTCTTCAAGTCTTTGCGAAACTTCAGAATAGTTAAACCAGGTTGACGGAGGCTGTATGGTAGTGAGTTCCAAATTTGTGGACTATATATATATATATATATATACACACATATATGTGTTTGTATGTGTGTGTGTGTGTGTGTGTGTGTGGTGTGTAATATATATAAATATATATATATACTAAATGTATACTACGATTTTTATGAGTGCTTTTGAGGTAATTTAATCAAAAAAGTAATTTCCTCGCATTTTTATATCTAACATTTTTTTTCTGAAATTGACATAAACTCGATGTGAAGTCGTTACATAAGCGAATTCTTTAAAACGTTCTATTTGTGATATTATTAATTTATAATATTTTTTGATTTGCAAAATTTAATTTTATCAATGAGGTTTTTTACATCTTTGTTTGAAAAGTACGAACATCTGGCTGGTGATTCAAAGGTAACATTGTTTTTATTTCTTCGTTTTATGTTATGTTTTGAACGTTTCGACGATGGCTTCCTCTTTTCGGATTGCAAAGTTGAACCTAGCTTGTCTTGTATCGGAAGGTTATTTTGAAGTTTTAGCAAATTTTGTAGCGAGGTTTGTTGCTCCAACTGAACTTGCCGCTGATTCTGCTGTTCATGTAACAGATCACGTAAACAGTCTTTTAAAAATTGATTGTTTTGTTGCTGTTTAAATGGTTGCGTTGTTTCTTCTAAATGACTGATTGGTTGTCGATCGTTTTGTTGTTGTTGGAAAGCTTGTCGATCGTTTTGTTGTTGTTGGAGAGCTTGTTTTTCTTTGTTGTCAACTGAACAAGTTTTAGTATCGGCGGCGTTAGTGAAATTTATGTTATCCTGGCTGACTAAATTGTGGGCAGGTATTGTTTGCTCTTCAATTTGTTTTGGTAATCGTTGCAAAATTGTCTGCTGTTTTTCAGTCAACATAGTTTTTGGATCCACTTGTTCCTGGTGCTCCTGGCTATCATTAACTTCTTCATGAGGCTTCTGCTGCTGATGTTGTGCTTGTTCATGATGCCATGCTACCACACAATTTGCAATATTTCTTAACAGCAGCACTTGGTTAGGATCCATTTTTAATTGTTGTTTTACTTTTTCAAGTATATCCATGATTTGTGAAGGATATGATTTTTGAGAAAGCAGACGTTTTAAAAGTTGCTTAAAAAATTGATGTTGTTCTTGTGGCTTCTGTGATAATAACTGGGAACCAGAAAAACTATGCCATAAATTTTTTAGGCATTCAGGTTTAACTGGATGTGGTTGGTTTTGGGACCCGGGTTGACGTTCAATTTCTTCAGTTTCTTTCAACTGTGTTTTTTCAAACTGAATATCTTCACGCAAAAGTTTTATTGTGCCACGTTTTAAATCTTGTTGACTGGAAGAAATTTTTATTTGTAATTGTTCACCAGTTGCTGCTGAGTTGGAAGAAACATCATTCCCTTTATCTTCTTCTAGTTTTAGTTTTTTCAATATTTTTGGCTGTTGATTGAAAATATCGTTTAAACTTTGAGGCATTTGTTGCGAATTCAGAAAACCTTGTTGAACATGTTGATTAAACTTTATTTCCTCGTTACCTTTTTCTTCTTTTTCTTGGAAAACATTGGAACATAAAGAATTGGTAAATTTCTGTTCCTGTTCTTGTCCACTGATTTTATCTAGAACATCAAATTTTGATGGGCAGGTAGCTGGTAATAGCAAACATGTTGACGATGGCAAAATATTATCAAAAACTGGTTCATTTACACATTTTTTTTGTGTGTGCAATGTTTCTACCATCTGGTTTTGCGTTTTTTTCAAATGTTTTTCTGTTTGTTCTAATGGATTAATATGGTCAAAATATATCTCATGTTTTTCCATTATATCAGCATCAGTATGTTCTATGTGTTCCTTTTGCAGGTGAATGTCTTGATTAAGATGCCCGTGATGCAGTAATGTGAAAGGCTGTGGTTTTACGTTTTGCTGTTTTGAAATGGACTGCGGTTGTAACTTTGAATGTGAATGTTTTAATCCGCGGTGCTGTGGATGAACTTCATGTAAAGATGATGACTTGATTTGAAACGATTTGTTACATGACTGTTCATGCAGGAAACTCGTTTGGTTTGAAACAATTTCTTGGTCTGTTTTTAGCTCTTTATTATTATAAAGTTGCGAATCAAGTTGTTTCCATGGAACGTTTTGAAAATCTAAATGATTGCATTTATTTTCTGATTCAATGTTTTTTTGATAAAAATTATTCTTTATATTGCTAGTAAACGGTAAAAAGTTTGAGTTTTGTTTCGATTCTTGTGATAGCGATGGAAGAACTAATTGTGTTTCAGCACAAAAAGAAGAAAATTTATCGTTTTTATCAATTTGCCCTTCCTGTTCAAACTGTTCGCATGAATAAATTTCTTTTTCCTGGAAAATGTCTTGTTTTTGTTGCAACTGTGGTAGTTGAAAACGTTGTGAAGGTTGTGGCTCCAAATGTTGATGCAATTGTGATTGAAGATGCAGTGGCTGAAAATTTTGAAATTTATATTGTGGTTGCAGAGTTTGAGGTTGTTGTAATTCAAAATTTTTTTGATTGTCTAGTTGATGTTGAAAATGTTCTAACTGACTGTGTTGTTGCTGCTGAGAACAATCTTGATGTTGCCAATATTGTGGTATTTTTTGTTGATGTGATTCATTTTGACATTGTTTCAGCCAAATTTGCTGTTCCTTTTTTTGCATTTCACTAGATTCTTTTTCTTTTTGCTGAGAATTTGTCTGCAACAAACCCAGTTTGATATCTTCAGAAAAATGCAAACCTTTTTTTGAGCAGTTATTTAAATGTAAGGTAAAAGACGATGGATTATTTGATATGTCAACAATTTTCCGGTTTGGTGAAAGGGTGCCAACATCAGTATCATTTCTCACCGACTGACGTTGATATGCTTGAAAATGTTGTTGTTGTGCTTGTGGATGTTGTGTTTGTTGTTGAAGTTGTGCTTCTTGTTGTTCATGCTGTTGAAGTTGACATGGTTGTATGGTGAGTTGGCACTGATTTTGCTGTTCTTTTAGTAAAAATTCGTTGGGTTGAATTTCTTTTTTTGCGTGTGGTTGCGGGCTTGATAATTGTTGATGCCGACAGTTTTTTTGCTTATCACGATTTTTCTTACTGTTAGAATGATTTTTTTGAAAAATATCGGAATCTGCTTTTAATACTTTTTTTGTCTGAATTTTTTTATCAACATCAACTAAATTCAAAGAACAAGTTGAATCTTCTGGATTTTTGTCAAGGGCTGGTGAAGATGATGAGGCCTGTAGTTTGTTTTTATGTGTTGAAATTTGGCGCATATGGGAAGTTTTTTTATTAGATTTATTAGCATTAAAAGACGTTTTTGTTTTTGTTACTTTTGATAGTTTAGGCACAACAGCATCTTTTAATTTGATGCGAGTATTAATAATATTAACATGATTTGATTGATGTTTTCTTAATGTAGATTCAATGTTTGAATTATCCAACGTTTGTTCAGTTTTGTCGCCAGTTGCGCTCTCGTGACATCTGTTTGCTTTGTATTCTCTATGTCTTTTCCACTTTTTGATCTGTGGTAGAAAAGAACGAGCCTCCTCACACTCATTTGACTGGTCAGCAGAGGTTGGGTTTTTAATATTCAAACTTGTTCGTGAGCAAGGAAGTGATGACAGTCTGTCCAATTTTTTCAAAGATTCTTCATTAAGGCTAGAACAAATACGGAGATTATTTTTTTGAGATTTATCACTCAAAATTTCTGGAAGACAGTTATTTGCTTGCATGGTATTTTTTGGATTGGTAGATTGTTGTGTTTGTCTATTGGGTTGAGTTTGAAAACAATTTTGAAAAGAATTTGGTGCATGAGAAAAGTAATTATTTTGTAAACATTGTTCTGAAAAACATTGATTTCTATCTTGATGTAATTGAAAACGATTTTGATGCAATACATAAAAAGGATGCTGAAACCATTTTACATCAACTGGAAAGCAATTTTCGCCATCATTTGCCCGTTGATTGCTTTCCTGATAAGTTGGGAATAATCTTGCACTATTTGACGATTTGGAAATGTCATTACAAGATAAAAAACAATTCGAAATGTTGCTGTTGTTGACAGAATTGAACCCGAACGGTCCATTCAATGCACAGCCACATAAACATTGTTCTGCGCAGTTTACGTTATTTAATAGCCACTCATTATTTTGCAATTCAGTCCAGAGCAACATATGATCAATATTATGTAGTTGGATACATGAGAGCAGTCGGTCGGCTATCTCAAGGCGTGAACTCATATCATATTTAATCCAACTTATAGCAGCGTCAAGAACGTCTTTTTCGCTTCTGACTTGCAAGTCATCACTTTTTAGTATCGGTAATAACCTGCGGGTTGATCAGTTGTAATAAAAAAATTTTTGTAAAACTTTAAAACGTTTTTAAAATAATGCAAATAATTTTAAAGTTGTCTACACTTTCAACAAATAGCCGTAAGTAACATAGATGATATTAATCATATTGTTATCACTCCGAGAATGAAGGAATTATGCGATATATAATTAATTATTGTTATCTTGTTATATTTGTTATCTTCACTATTTGTCATTGATTGTAACCATAGAATCTTTTCATATTATAGAGGATTTAAAAATCTACTGTAGAGGGTATATAAGGGAGCAGGAGTAGTGAAGTCAATAGCGAGGTTTAAAGGGACGTTGTAATTGTGATTTATGTAGTTATTTGGATTAGTTTAATGTTTCTATCACCGTTGGCATTCAAATAAACGTTCAACCAAGTTGTGTTTATTTATCGGAAATACTGATCCTTCAGAATAACGATAATTTGATCTTTGGAAGCTTCAACACTGGTGTTGGAAGCACATAGATTTTTCAAGTTGTAACATTAGTGTTGGCAGTTACTAGCGTTTAAAACATTACAGTAATATAATTAAAAAATAATAAAAATATATACCACAAGTCTAAAATGTATACCTATCAATAGGTAACAAACAGAAATGAGGCGTCTGGCAAACGATGAGAAAATTATCCGCAATGACTTTGAATGCACACTCCTTCAAAACTTTGCAATCAGTATTGAAAGCCACGTTGTAGAAGGAAAAGACGTTGTATAAATCAATGTTATTGATCATAAAGCAAACACAAAGTTCAAATGCAGATTGTATTCCAAGTTGATGAGCGCACTCAGCCAACTGATCAACTGTTTCAGATGATAGATCCAAATTGGACGTGTACACAAACTTCAATAGGCATTTCATCGTCTAAATCAAAATACATTTTTGCAATGATAAAAGTATAATTTTTTTTTAATTACAAAATTATTTTTATACTTGTGAGGAGAATTCAGTAAGACTTAGAGTGCATGTTTCGTCAGGCTGCACACCGGAGAAAAAGTTCATGAGTTTAGGAGAGCATAAGCCTAAAGCTATTTTATGAGCTAAAAATATTAAAATATAACTAAGCTTAAAATTTTATATATGAATTTTACAAAAGTTTAAAATTTTTTCGCATTTAAATTTTTATTTTGTTGAAACCACACAGGTCAGCTATTTTTTTGTTTTTTTTTTATTTTTACAAAACCGTTCCGAATGCATACTTACGATTACTGCAGTTATTTTCTTGACGCCTTCACGCACTGAACTAGAGGTCATCAAAAAATTGGAAAATTTCCCACAAATTTTCCCGCAAATACCCGCGAGAAAACAGCAGGTTGGGAACAAAAGTTGGAGAAAACTCGAGGGGCGGGAATGAAAAGCGCGGGAAAACCGCGGGGCGGATATTTTTCGTGCCGGAAGTACCGCGGGATGGGAAAAATTTTAAAGGGAAAACCGCAGTTGACTTGACTTTGATGGCAAAGTTCCAAAAATGTTGAAAATTAATGAGAAACTTCATAGCTTGAACAGCACCGCAATTGAAAAAGTTAGATTATTATTACTAAGTTAAAGCTAAGTAAGCTCACAGATGCATATGCATTACGCTAAATAATATTCATTGTGATTACACGAAAACACACGTGACCCATTATATTAAGTAAGCAGCTCGAATACAGAATCTGTCTTTATCAACTGTTTACACAGACAAATACGTGATCAGCGAGTTCTATTTTCATTTTGTTTTATTTCGACGACAACCTCGTGTTAGCAGTTTGGTAAATATGGACAAATCGGCAGTCAACAAAAAAGATGTTTCTCCACCGCTGGAAGAACACTGGAAGATAGGCGCTCAAGACTTTTACAGAATCTGTTGATCAGCTTCTTTTGCTCAACAGTCAAGGAGTTGTATAAAATTTACAAACAATTTACTGAAACACTAACTGTTTTAACCAGTTTTTTTGTTTGTTTTTATAATAAAAATTGTACATTGAATGTACTACATAATACTCTGACTAAGGATACTTTATTGTCATTGTTAATAATGATATAATTATTGAGGGAATGAGTGCGGGAAAATGAAGATTTGTGAGAGAATGAGAGCAGGTGAGGGAAGAGATGTGAGGGAATGGGTGCGGGTGAGGGAAGACTTGTGAGGGAATGAGTGTGGGTGAGGGAAGACTTGTGAGGGAACTGAATGCGGGTGAAGTAAAATTCATTTTCAGGAGGGGCAGGTGAGGAAATAGAAATGTGTTTCCGCGTAGACCTCTACACTGAACAAACATTTTAAATGTATATTTACATAAATAATTCAAACAGTTCCTTTAGATCAAGATAAATTGTTTTAACAAAATGATTTTTCATCTACAATTTTCCATCGTAATTTTTTACTTCTACTTCTTATTTCTTCATATGTTTAGTTTAAAGTTTTAAAACATAATTAAAATTTTTCAAAAATTTGGAAAAGCACCAACCTAAGAGAGTACCATCGCTAACAATCAGCATGACGTCACACACAGCTTGGTTTTTGTATAAATCATAAAGAGGCTTATTTTCTGAAAATAATTAATTACTCTCATTAATAGAGAAATGACAATTTATAATTCATATAAAAAACTAAATATAATAAAATGTATTCGAATGGTTACTAACTGCATTAAAAAATAAATCTTGAAAATTAAAAAGTGTACACTTCTTAACTTTTACAATGGGGCAACGTTGAATTATGTAAAGTGTTGAAATGTAACAAGTAATCCGAAGTGACTTAAAAAGTGAAAACAAAATTATCCGAATGGCTACTAACCGATATAGCGAGAATGAAGTTCTGATCGATTTGATCCGCCGTTGGCATGGAATACGTAAGAGTTAGTGTTCGTTTTAGATGAACTGCTCGAATTTTCACATTCTTGCGAAAAGTTAGTGATAATATCAGCATCGGTTATAACGTGGCGTTTGCATGAAACAATTTTGGAAGGCTGATTGGGAATTGATCTTGAAATGCAGCTAATTTCAAATTGTTGCTTCGATTGTTTTTGCGGTTGATACCGTGGTTGTTGGTGTGATGTTGGAGACTGTTGAGGTAGTGAAGAGATAAAGGAAGAAAATCCTTGTTTGAACTTTCTCGCCTTAAAATATTAATCAGGAAATAAACAAAATAAATATCAACCCACATCCTCATTTAAACACGCATACACACATATATTATATATATAAATATATATCAACTATATATTATATTATATATATATATATATATATATATGTGTGTGTGTGTGTGTGTGTGTATATCATATATATATATGATTTATTTTTAAGAATAAGCTTAAGACTAAGGTAAATGTGAATGTGGGAATTTCAAAAACTTACAATTTTTAACTTCATGACATAAATGTTTATTTTTCTCGTTTAGAATTAACATCATGAAAAAGTAAAAAATTATTTTTCATGATTTATAAAATTCTTCAAAATTTTCTGAACAAAAGTTTTGAATATTCTCTGCTTTTTATTTATGTAAAAAAAATATGAATAACAGTTAGTCGTAATAGCGGTATTTCTATTTTAAAGAGTGGCGTTAACAACTCTGTCAAAAATGATGGAGACCTATCATTTATCTAAATTAGTGTCTTGAATACGATGAAATAATTGTGTTTGGTTCATTTTCTCAAGAATGTATGTTGTGATAACATTTCGTACTTATGCTGATGTTTTATTGGTTTAAGATGCTTATAAAGTCATTCACTGAACTGCAAAATTTATTCAACTGTTTTAAAACTTAATTCAACATCTAAGTAACATCGTTTATCTAATGTGTAATGATTTGTATACTAGTAAAATTAAACGACTAATTTTTTAGTAAAAATTTCATAAATATATTTTATTTATATTTACGTTATGTGTGATTTTTGGTGGGGTTAGTACGAGAATGGGTTTGTATGTATATGAATGGCTATGTGCGTGTTTTTATTGTGCTCGTGTGGTTGTACTCGATGGGTTTTTCAACGAACTCACAATCATCCTGCCTTCTTATCGTTATGTTTCACCACATTGTGGAGGAAATAAAATATTGTATTGTATTGTTGGGTTTGGTGTGAGTATGGTTTCGTAAGTATAGAATTGTTTACGTTAGTGTTACGGTGGGTTCTATGAGTATGAATTTGTGTATTAGTATCATTAGATATCAAATTTTCATTAGTACAAATTTCATTGATATATTTTATTTATATTTTCTAATGTGCGAGTTTTTGGCGTGCTTGGTATTGTGCGTGTGAATGTGCGTGTGAGCGTCCTGGTTTTTGTGTGATTGATTAATTTTTTTATTGGAAAAATTATGTTAAAATTATAATGGTTTACTTTTGTTTATAAGAACTCCATTTGGAGCTGGATTGAAATGAATTCGTAAAGATAATATATGAATTTTTTTACTTTCACAAATAGAAAAGATGCGAAAATGTTTCTTTTCTCAGTGCTGCCATGAAATTTAATAAAACTTTCTCTTTTGATGGGCAGCAAAAAAAAGCAACGCTAAAATTTATACAGTACAACCACAAACATTAAACATCAATAATAAATAAAATTCACAATTATCTACAAATATATTTTAAAACATAGATATAAAACAATCTCATTAAATCAAACATCTTTATCGACTGATTTTAAATGCTTTTCGACGTATTTTTTTATTAGCAGTGTTATATAAAATTATAAAGAAAAAGTTGAAAATTTTTGCTGAGAGTGGAAATCCAAAGTCAAGAGTCGGAGATTTTTATCTAAAGTCGGAGAATTTTCAATTAAGGTGTCGGAGTCTGAAAAATAGTTACAACTTCGACACCCTAGTTCCGACAGAAATTGTTTACTTGCATATGGCAAAGGAAAGCTTTTACACCAAAACGGCCCACCATCCATAGTAATCGTAGCATACTTTTTTATTTTATTTATTCAAAACCAAAAAAACTGCACAATAAAAATAGCAATCAATGTTTTTCGGAGACCAAATGAGAAAATAAACTTGTAAAGGCCACCGTGTCACTTCACTAAAGAAAAAAAAAAGAGAAAAGGAAAAATATTATGAACGTCAGAACTATTATGTTAAGTAATAATTAGTTATTATGGGTCCTTTGACAAAATGCAACCAAAACATACGAAATTTAAAGAGTAAATCGAAATAAAAGGGTGGCAACAAAATAAACGAATATCTTGACATATGAAATTAAATGAATATGATAATTAAACTGAACCATATATTTATTATATGATTATATGGTGGGTAAATTGTTAATAAAAACTCAAATAACTTTGTACATAAGCAATTTTCTATTTTTACCGTCTGAACAAGTACACTGATCTTTATAGATTTTTTAAACTAATTACACAATACATGATTTTATTTTTCTAGCGCTCATAAAGAAAATTTTTCAAATTTTCAAAATAATGTGCAGTTTGCATTAAAAAAAAACGGTTATTACGTTTTATTTGAACATGTGTGTTCATTAAGGTGATGCAAAAAAATGAAGCTGTAAATTTTTCAAGGGGTAACATCCAAAAATGTTCCAATATATGAAATAATAAATCAGAAAAATTTTCAGTGATTTTGACACATGCTAAATGGCTGCTACCACATTTTGAATTTTACCGATTTCAATTTATTTTACCTCTTTTGGTAATAACGTAACTGCCTGACTATGCCCACAGTATATTATTTAATTTGTGTGAAATGATGAAGATACACTGCAACTTTTATTTATTTTAGTTAGTTTTAATTTGGCTGTTAATTGTGCCTTAAAAGTGTTCTCGAACCTAGTGTTTCCTCAACTATCTATTGGAATAGCAAGCTAATAGAAGACATTATAGGAGAAAAGTCTGTGGACAGACTTCCTGTACTCGTGTCGTGTGCTTGCGGTTCCTAAATTGCCAGTGGCAACAGGTGAAGCTGCAGCATCTGCAGTTTTTGAATGTGCTGTTTCATGGAAACTTTGTCAAAGAATCAAGACTGTCATTCGACACTACAGCAGTGAACACTGGACAAATTAATAGACCATTTGTCCAACTGGAGCGAAAGATGCAGAAGGAAATGTTGTGGCTGGCCTGTCGTCGCCATATGCTTGAAATTATGTTGGAAACAGTTGTGAAGCATTCATTTGGTCTTTCAACAAGTCCAGACATAACAATCTTCAAGCGTTTTAAAGAACATTGGCCACTCATTGATAAATCAACATTTCAGACTGTTCTAACAGATGACTCTAGTACATCAGCCATTGTTGACATTGCTGAAGAAATTATCGAATTTGCAAAAAAACAGCTTACAACTTTTCAACCTCGTGAAAATTACCGAGAGCTACTTGACTTAGTCATTATTTATCTTGGAATATTCCAGAAAAAAGTACGTCATTTAAACATCCAGCTTGACTTCATCTTGCTTGGTGGACGGCCAAAGCCATATCTGCCTTCAAAATATGGCTATTTCGGGCCCAATTTTGACTCACGGCAAAAGAAAAATGGGGTCTCAGAAACATATGCATTTTTACCACAAGAATTCACACAAGAACCTGGTTTACAGCACTATCAAACATCTCAACTCCTCAAAATGATCTCTGGCTTATCAAAAGCCTACAAAAGCTAATTAATTAGTGTACCTTTATGGTTAAGTGAATAGTGAACTTATTAATATTAAAATACTTATTGTATCATTTATCATAAGCTATAATACACAACAGAAACATATGCATTTTTACCACAAGAATTCACACAAGAACCTGGTTTACAGCACTATCAAACATCTCAACTCCTCAAAATGATCTCTGGCTTATCAAAAGCCTACAAAAGCTAATTAATTAGTGTACCTTTATGGTTAAGTGAATAGTGAAATTATTAATATCAAAATACTTATTGTATCATGTATCATAACACAAAAATTCTTTGTATTGATGTATTGATATATTCATTTATGTACTTTGCAGCTATCCTGATTCCGACAAATTTCTGAAACACCTCTGGTATTTATCAGAAGAAATTGTTGCATTGGCCTTTTTTGATGAAGTACCACTTGACATAAAACAGAAAATGGTGAAATGTTTGAAAACAAATAGTCTGGATTACTCATTAAAAAGAGCAACTATTGATCAATCTATGATAAACTTGATGATTTTGTTTCACATAACACCTATCGTTTTTTCGCCATTACTGGACTTTCATCTGAATTTTTGAACAGTAATCCAGATAGTTGAGAGACCAATGATACCTTCAAAGAAGTAAAAGCTGCACTATCGTCTCAGAGTTGTGAATGATATAGCAGAACGTGGAGTAGCTCTTATGGAAGAATACAATAACCTTCACACAAACGATGAAAAACAGAAAAGTATTTGCTGATAGTTGTGGAGAAGTGTAGACAGAACTATCCAGACAAAAACAAACCAACATTGATGCAGTTAAACCAGGATTTTAACTATTACCTATTTGTACACTTTTTATTGAACGAGTGAAATAGCTATAGATTTGTTTAACTGGTAATAGATATGCTAATTTTTTTCATTTTTTGTTATTCGTTAAAACTGAACATGACGATAGCAATCTCTTAATATTGTTCAAAAAATTTAAAATTTATACTAAATTTTTTTTCATACATTGGAACTTTTTTAAAGGGTGTCCAAATTTTAATTCAATAATTTTTTAACTTATTGTGTTGCATCACCCTAGTGTTCATGTTTGTAAGTTAAAATATTTCAAACATACAAAGCTTGCCACTGACTACGGACCTCATTTGGTTCCTCACTCCAGCACCTCTTGCCCTTACTAAGCAAGCAATTTACAACGTTTTCTTTCAAATCGTTGAACGTTAGTAATTTCTCCTTCATAGATCTTTATTTATTTAATTGCCTTGAATCAAAAACAATCTAGATAATTTTCGTTTTTAAATTCAGGTGTGTTGTTGATCTTACGGATACAAAAGAGTTCTTACCTGAATGTAATTAAAACAATGTTAAAATTTAAATCAATGTAAAGAAAATTATTCAACAAACTTAGCAACCTAATTCAAGAATATGAATGACTAAATCTGTATCTAAGGATTTGTGGAGCGACCCTATTGAATAACTTCAGAAGCGTTAGCTTCGCTGGAAAATGTCAATATATATATATATAACGATGATGAAAGATTGTTAAACTAAATATCTGATATTGATATATATATTGATATATATATATATATATATATTGATATATATATATATCAATATATATCAATATATATATATATATATATATATACAAATACAATATATATATATTGTATATATATATATATATATATATATATATATATATATATATATATATATACATACATACATACATACATATATGTATGTGTGTTGCGGTTGTGTCTAGATGATCAAATATTTTTATACTGTGCCTATTTATTGGTTCCTTGTTTATTCAAAGTGAATATTTAGTTTAACAATTTTTCAACATCGTAAGATATTACACTTTTATGTGTTTTCATTATCGATAAATATAACACTTCACGTGCTTTCATTATCGATGATTCCTCTGTTTTGAAATGTTATGTGTTATGTGGTATTGTTATGTGGACTTTGTCAGGCAGCATGATCCTGGTCACAGTGGGTTGATCATACATTTTCGTGAAGAGTTTATTTGTAGAAAGTTAGATCTACCTGTTTTTGTAACGTTTGAAACTGTCGCCATTAAATTAGTAATTTCTGGATGTGTACAGGTCTGGTTCAGCACAAATAACCGTTTTGTTTTTTGAAGAGTTGGTTTCAGTTCTGGTGTATATAACTATGTAAAATGCAAATATTTTACTGATGGGCAATTTTAATGTGCATATTGAAAGAATAAATGATCTAAACACCATACGTTTATTTGAAATATTTGATGTATTTCAACTAATTAATCATATAAATGAGTCAACGCATTCAGGGAGTAAAACATTGGATCTGGTTGTTAGCTTCGCTGATTTTCCTATTATTAGTACTACAGTATTTTCTCATGAATTTTTCTCTGATCACAGTGTAATAACGATTAAAGCAGTAATTGCTAAACCACGTCGAATAACAAAAAAAAACGATTTGTTAGATCATGGAAAAAGATTGATGAAGATAGATTTGTTGAAGCAGTTTTAAATTTTCCACTGTCTGGTTCTTGTCATAGCAATGACGCTGATGTTGAGTTAAAAAATTTCAATAATGAGTTAAAAAATATTATTGACAGACTGGTGCCTAAAAAAGTGATCTTTGACAGTGGTGAGCGGTTGGCTCCATGGCTTGATGAAGACTGCTTGCGCACCAAACGATGTAATAGAAAGATGGAACGATTGTACAGAAGATGTTCAACGGATATAAATAAAAATGAATAGATTACCTCGCTAAAAATTAAAAACGATCTTTTTTCTAACAGGCGTACAAGGTATTGGAATAATTTAATAAAGTTAAACAAGGGGTCCAGAAATAGATGCATCGTTGAAAAATGTATGCATGCATGCAATGAAAAATCGAAATAAGGCCATATCTGCATGATGAATTCGGATAACAAATTTCATTAAATTTCATGATGAACTTGGATAATTCTATTTTCAACAAATTGAACAATTTCCATTAAATTTCAGGAACATGCCCACTTGTTTTGTGTGTAAGTTAAATAAACTTAATAATAAATTGAAATTCAAAAGAGAGATTGAAAAATTAAATAGAAAATGCTTTGACTTTCCTAAACAACTGTATATCTGATAGCTTTGACCAGTTTCTGGTTCAATTTGTCAACATTTCATATCACATTTTTATCATTGTAATTTTTAACTTATTTATATAAAAAACAAAGTTTTTATTATCATTTTTATCTTAAACAGAATAAGGTTTTTTCGGCAATCTTTTACCATTTAACACACTAGTACAGATTTTGTTTTATGCAAGAGGAGGCCTATTTACAAATATACAACACTTTCTTATTGGTTGAAGCAGGGATATGCAAAGAACCTCAATTTTTTCAACTTTTCTTTATTTTCGGTAATGTCGATTTAATTTTTTTAAATATATACCAAATAAAATTAATTAATTACCACATTGAATAACAATTTAAAAAAAAATTAAAATTTTAACATTTTAAATAAAAGCAATATTCAAAAATTAGTAAATATCACAACTTTTGACTCGAACAATAAAAAATCAACCTCCAAATCCACTTCGGAAGTAAGCTCTTTGTTTGACCGTTAAAAGTGAGCGAAGGCCGTTATATTTATTCTAGTTATGTGGTTTTATGTGTCTGTTTATATAGGTTTTGAGTGACTTTCTTATACTGTGTGTTTTCACTAATTGACTTTCATTTCATTTCAACATAAAAATTTCTCATGCAATGTTGTGTGGAATGAGAAGTTATCTAATGTACAATATTAAAAATTGATTTTTCGTTTTTATTCATTAGAAATAATTGTAAGAATTGTTTAATGAAATTGAAATGTTTAAAGTTTGTGAAAATCACTCGGGAGCACACGGATTTTCGTTTAATAAAAAGCTTAGTTTATTAATTTACAAAAATTACAACATTGACTTCCGTATAATAACCGTTAACTGTTATAACCGTCACAAATATATTCGCTGGAGGGCCAGTGCCGCTACAAACGCATAGTTTGAGAAAGAGCTAGAACCATCTGACAGCGAGATATCTAGGACGTTGATATTTGACTGCGTTGTGTTTTTAATGCATTTGCGATAAACTTTAGTGAATTGCTATTTGGAAAGCGACAGTTTCTGAACGTTAACTTGATAGTTTGTCAACATTAACTTTTATTATTAAAATTAATGGACGTTGATTATTAATTAATTATTGTTTTTGTAAACAAATAAATCGATAATTTAGAAGTTATATTGTCTTTATTTTTCACTGGGACTAAACGAACTCGTCGTTGCCCGGCCAGTTAAAACATTGGTGTTAGAGGTGGGATCTTCTATGGAAAATTTTTTGACTCGTCGACAAATAATTTTGTGAAACAATATGAAAAAAACTAGATTAACATTAATTGGTGCAACTCAAAGAAAAGTAACAAAAACAAATCTTGCTACAAGTGGATACAGAAGAGCATTGATAGCACAGCTAACGGAAACCCTTATCAATGAAAATAAGAATCCACATGAATTCGAGTTTGACGATCAGGATGTCGAATCGAATGCAGTTGTAGACGCTGGGGCAAACACCGAATTGATGGCTCTACTGCAAAAGATATCATCAGAAATAAAACAACAATCTACAAAAATTGAAAAACAGTCAACAACAGTTGAACAGTCAACAAAAATTGAACAACAATCAACAGAAATAAAGCAGACGAGAGAAAAAATTGATGCCAAAATTGAACAACAGAAGGCCGATATTGATGATAAAATAATACAACAGCTGAGAGAACTCAGAAAACAATTCGATGTCAAAGCTGAACAGCAATCGGCAGTAGTCAATACAAAAATAGAAGACGTCAGATCAAAATTTGATCAAAAGGTTATCGAGCTCGATCAGAAGTTGCGAAGTGGATAAATTTAAACAAGAACTGGAAGAAACTAAAAAAATAAATTCCAAACCTTTAAGCCACGTTACAGCAAGACATTGAAAGCGCTAGCATTTGACGGAAAAACTTCTTGAAACATTTATAAAGCTCAGCTTAAAGCAATAGCAAGGAATTATGGCTGGAATGAAAAATAGCCTACAGTCTTACATTTGAGTTAGCAAAGCAAGCTTCAAAAACCGATGTAAAACAGCGCCAACTTTTTGAAAAATGATCATGTCAAAGAATGTTTCTAGAACAGAAGGATCAGTATTATGGTGCGTCAAAATGCTGGAAACGTGGAGAAAAAAAGACATCTACGACGAGATTGTAAACAACGACCTAGAAACGATTAAAGTCGTTATTTGTGCAGCAACATGATACGAACTGTTAGATGGTGATCCCGCGTCACGACCGACTGCCTCAAACAAGTTTGCGGGAAACTAATGAGATCCAATTGCGCGGGGCAAAAATTGGCTGTTAGAATTGACGCCCCCAGTACCGTATTCAAGGTCTTTAGACTGCATCAAAGTCAATACGACCTTTGGTAGGATGGCAGAGTTAGTTCACAAGAATGTTCAATTACGATCGACACGGGAGCAATGAGATCAATTTTAGGATCCTATCTGGTACTCAACCTAAAAAGAAAAGTTTTTCATAAATACATTCTTCGAACGGCTACTGGAAGAACAACACCCGTCTACGGAAAAATTTCTTATACTGTTCAACTAGGCGATTTAGCATTCGAGGGCACATTTTTAATAGCAGATATCACTGATGAATGCATAACAGGCGTTGATTTTTTAACAAAACATGGTGTTAAAATTGATTCAGAAAAACGCGTCTTTAGATGGTAATGGAAACCAGTGATGTGCAATGTATTTGTATAACGATCGATAGTGACACTGAAGTATCTAAATCATCAGAGAACATCGTATAGGCGAAACTAATTTGCCATAATGGGGACCACCAATTCTACCTGGTTGAGCCAACAACGACGATGGAAATTGACAACATTGTTATTGGAAAACATTGTCTCGTAAAAGTAATGACAATGGCTTTGTTCCAGTTCTGTGTTAAATGTGACAGAACATTCCATTACAATTAAAAAAAACTTAGAAATAAGCTTTTGTCAATCCGTAACAAATATCGTAAAGTCTTTGGATGTTCAACATCAGAATAATGGTCGGATAGTCAATAAAGATAACCTTAAAAAGCTTACGGAGGGTCTATTAGGTGAAATCAATTTGCAACAGGAAGATCGTTCAAAAGGCAAAAATTTGATAGTGGATTTTGCAGATGTATTTTCAACCGGAGACGATATTTAAAAGGAAAAACTGGCCTTGTTACCAATTGAATCGATACACAGGACTCGAAGCCATTCAGACAAGTACCACGCAGTCTTCCACTAGCAAAACAAGGAGAGATAAACGAGATGATAACTACAAGGCTAAACCAAGATGTTATCAATCCGTCAACTAGTCCTTGGAAGTCGCCAGTTGTTCTGTTAAAAAAAAACGGCAGCACCCGCTTTTGTGTGGGCTACAGCAGAGGCGTAGCCAGGGTATTTTGCGCCCGGAGACAAACTATAAAATTGGCGCCCCCTCTCCATGCTAAATCACATTTTTTACTACATTAACATTGTAAAAATTACTGTTTACAAAAAACAATTCAAATTTTAATGGAACATTGTATTTAAAGATAAAACATAAATATACAAATTATAACATATGATTCAGTCGCTGTCAAAGATAATTTACATAGTTTACAATAGATTTATTTTTCTAGATTTCATTGTCGCAAACTGATCAATTATATTATTCAAATTTGTCATTTCCAATGAGAAGAGCAAGATCACTGAAATGATCTTGTCCGATTGATGCACGCAGATACGATAAAATAAGTTTCAATTTGCTGAATGATCGCTCACAGCTTGCATTTGAAATTGCTAGTGTCAATAAAATTTGTAGCGAAATTCGCAGATTCGGAAATACGTCATTTCCATAAAACACAATGAAACCAAGAAGATCCAAAAGACTTTATGGTAGAGCTTTAGTTTGGTTACTAAGCAGCATTCTGCAATCACCAATTTTGATGAAAAGTTCGTAGACATTGATGTCCTTGTCGTAGAAATTTGAAGAATTTGTACAATTTAGACGAATTGCATTGTTATCTGTGGCAGATAAAAGAGTCTTAATGTCCTGCAAAAATCTAAATTATTGTTGTGAAAATTTTGTCAGCTTCATTTTGGCGCCCCCTTGTACTTGGTGCCAGAAGACATATGTACCCCCGCCCCCATAGCTACGCGTCTGGACTACAGAAAGCTAAACAAAGTGACAAAAAAAGATAGTTATCCGCTTCCGAGAATAGATGACATCATGGACACGTTGTCCGGTTCACACTGGTACTCTACGCTACACTTGAAAAGCGGTAACAGTATGGACACCGGAAGAGCTGGCAAGCGCACAGTCTGCAGACAAAGACTTAAATTATGTCATTGCATGGAAAAAATCAGGCCAGCGACCTGAATAGCAAGACATATCTGAGTTCGGTTGGTCGTTGAAAAGCTACTGGGATCAGTGGGACTCTTTGCATTTGGAAGATGGGTTGCTTAAACGGAAATGGGAATCAACAGATGGATTAAAACATCGCATGCAGATTGTGGTACCAAAAAATGAAATTGCAGAAATTCTTAAAAAAATGCATAGTGGCTCATCAGGGAAACATCTTGGAGTTAATGAGACGCATGACAGCATACATGAAAAGTTTTAATAGAATAACGCTCGAGAAGATGTGGAAAGTTGGTGTAGAAAATGTAGATAAAAGGTTTCAAAAGTTACGAAGAAAGATGCAAATCTTTAATGTTGGTGTGCCTTTCGAAAGAATTGCATCGACATTGCCGGCCCATTTCCTGAATCAAATGATGGAAACCGTTACATTCTGATTGTAGCAGACTATTTTAGCAAGTGGCCGGAAGTGTATCCGATACCAAATCAGATGGCTTGTACTGTCGCTGAAGAGATCGTAATAAAGTGGATCAGTCGGTATGGTGTTCCCATAGAGTTGCATTCAGACCAAGGTCGAAACTTCGAGTAGCAACTGTTTGGTGAGCTGTGTCAATTACTTGATATAAAGAAAATAAGAACAACTCCTCTCCACTTTCAGTCAGATGGTATGGTGGAACGTTTCAACCAAACACTAATTAAACAATTGGCCAAGGTAGTTGACAAAAACTAAAAAAACTGGGATCGACGAATACCACTGTTCTTTATGGCATATCGAAATGCCATTCACACAACTACTGGGATGACTCCCTCAAAGTGCTTTTACGGAAATACAATAACAACACCAGCTGATATAAAAAATGACGTACCACCTGAGGCCCAACAATCAATTACGGATTATGTGGAAAATTTCCTTCAGCGGTAAAACAGCATCCACCAATATACGCGCCTGAAGTTGAAAAAAATAGTGCAACAACCAAGACCCGATACGATAAAAATGGTAACTCTGCTACATTTAACGTCAACTATTTGGCGTGTCTACAAAGTAATGTCATACTAGAATTAAATTTTGATGAAATCGCTTGAAAAAACACGGGTCTCGGTTTAAAAGAAATTTTGCATTGAATAACACAATTAATTTAAACAAATTTGGCGAAGCCACGCTAGTATAACTAGTAGGATACAATCATTGTCTAGACTAGTAGCACTTGTTCAAAGGTATATTCGTGAACTTTCTAATAAATTCTCTAAGCTATAAAAAGTGTCTAAGAATCTTACACACATTTTAATGGTTGACAAGATATGTATAAAGAATTTGCTTAAACCTCATTACCCTGTATGTTAATAATAATCTTAATCAATGAGTAATGTTTAATAATCTGAGTTGGTAATCGGGTTAGCCCAGTCTGTAGAAGTGCCATGTCTCGCGCTGCTATTACACGGTGGCATGATTCAAATACTGTTTGTCCAAATTTGAAAGACCATCATACGTGAATGGTGCGGTGCTTTAGCGTGCACAAAAAATATGTATGTGCGTCCTTTGGTATGGTTGGTACAGAATTTGTGGCATGACAGGAAAGTTTATTTAATAGTATATAATAACGTAAACAGCTCTGTGTTTGATGATTTGCGTTATAGAAAATAAAAAAATTATTATAGCTCAATCTGATAATCTAGCTAAGGTATATTCATATTGTTTTGTTTACACGACTATTCTTTTATCATATAGTGACATAGGGTAGGATGACATTCTATATCAATTATACCTTCAGCTTTAATTAAACAATTGCCTGAAGACATGTGTATGCAAACACTTGAAATCCTTTCAGACATTTCACTTAACAATTTTAATGTGTGTCCTTATTGACACACAATTCCTTATCATTTTTTTATTCTGGCTATTCAACCTCCTTACTTTAATAATTTAAAACTGCATAATTGCTTTAACAATAATATACAATACAATATATATGTACGGTTACATATAGATATTCGTATACAATATAAATACATTATACATAAAAATGATAATGCATAATCATAATGGTCAATCAATTGGAATTAGTTTGGCATAGAATAGAGTCATATTGAGTTAAAAAACTACATTATTTTTTTGGTCAGTACTTTCTACTTTGGTAGTAAGTAGTTATTTAAAAATAAAAAGAATAATAAAATAAAAAGTCCATAAATTAAAAATTTAATAAACAATAATATTAATAACCATAGTCAACTGGGCCAAATTTTTGAACAAAGTCGTCTACTATTTACAATTTTTTATTAAAACTTTTAAGTCATAAATTTAAAATTTGAAAAAATTGAAAAAAATGAATATTGTATTACTTTTGCAATTTTTCATAGAGTTGATCGAACTTAAATTGTTGTTATTTACGTTGTCATTAGTTATTAAATTTAAAAATGGAACAGATTAAAAATATTAGTTTTTAGCAAAATTTAGTTTGTTTTGCTTGTGTGTTTCGATTTAACGACGT